ATCCTCAAGGACTGTACTTCAGTATCCCAGACTGGCATCCAGCGTGGAGGACCCACCACTGGTGTCGGCAAGTGCAGCTGGTATCCCTAGACCAGCACTCTTAAGCCCTCCAGTTCCTGAACTGTTTCCCCTGTCTGCAGCGCTTCCCACAATGGGGATCGCTTTATGGTGTATTTGGGCTGCGTACACCACCACTGAAACTTTAGAGATGGCGGCGGCCACTGCGATGTCTCCCGAGGTGGCGGCTAATGCTGCAGATCCTTCCGAGGTAGAGGCGCACGCTGCCATGTTCCCCAAGGCGATGGCGCCCGCTGTAGCTCCTCCAGAAGTGGCAGCTCATGCTGCAGAACCTCCCGAGGTGGCGGCTAATGCTGCAGATCCTTCCGAGGTAGAGGCGCACGCTGCCATGTTCCCCAAGGCGATGGCGCCCGCTGTAGCTCCTCCAGAAGTGGCAGCTCATGCTGCAGAACCTCCCGAGGTGGCGGCTAATGCTGCAGATCCTTCCGAGGTAGAGGCGCACGCTGCCATGTTCCCCAAGGCGATGGCGCCCGCTGTAGCTCCTCCAGAAGTGGCAGCTCATGCTGCAGAACCTCCCGAGGTGGCGGTGCTCGCCTCAGCTCCTTGCACGGTGGTGGCGCCCAGCAAAGCACCTTCATCCTGTCTTGTCACGGTCGAAGGAACCATTACTGAACTCTCCTTGTATCCCGATGGTCCTACTGTAGAACCTCCAGAGGTGGCAGCATCCACTGCACAACCTCCAGAGGTGTCAGTGGTATCCACTCATGAACTCTCGTCCTGTTCTGTTCCGGCCAAGGAGGCCATCTATGAACTCGCTACCTGTCCTTTCACGGCTATGAGGCCATCTGTGAACTCTCTGACAGTCCTGTAATGCTATGAAGGCTGTCTGTGAACTCTCTGCCTGTCCTGTCACGGCTAAGGAGGCCGCCTGCGAACTCTCTTACAGTCCTGTAATGGCTATGAAGGCCGTCTGTGAACTCTCTGCCTGTCCTGTCATGGCTATGGAGGCCGTCTGTGAACTCTTTACCTGTTCTGTTCCGGCCAAGGAGGTCGTCTGTGAACTCTCCTGTCTGTCCTGTCACGGCTATGGAGGTCGTTTATGAACTATTGTCTCATCCTGAACTGGCCAAAGAGGCCATTTGCGAACTATTGCCCTGTCTCAATCCAGCCAAAGAAGCTGTTTCTGAACTCTCTGCCTTATCTGTCACACCTGAAGATGCTGTCTGTGAACTTACTGACTGTTCTGCTGCAGCTACAAGGGCCGTTCAGGAATTCTCATCTCTGTCTGTCACTGCCATGAAAACCTTTAATGAACTTCTTGTGTTCCCTGCCTTGATTCTTGTTACCGTGAATGCACTGCCTGTCTCTCGTATCTCTGCTTTTCCTAGGTCTCAGTCTCTGCCAAGGTCTCCTGATCAATCTGGCCCTCCGTGGTGGGCTTCTGCTCTGTCTGCTCTGCCCTGGTGGGCTTCTGTCCCATCTGCTCTGGCCTGGTGGTCTTCTGCTCCTCCGTGGTGGTCTGCTTTCTGGCTCTGGTGGGCTTCTGCTCTGCCGTGGTGGTCTGCTTTCTGGCTCTGGTGGTCTTCTGCTCCGCTGTGGGGATCTTCGGTCCCATCTGCTCTGCTGCGGTGGTCCTCAGCTCCACCTGTACTGCCGGCTCCGCCCCTGGCTCACTGCTCCACCGGTCCTGCCTCAGTCCCCGGTCTCTCCACTTCCACGTGGACCTGGCCCTCCGTCCCTCCCCCTGTTCCGCCTCCGCTCCACCGTCCTCCTGAATCATAAAGTGTTCGGAGCGTCTTTAAAATAAAAGATAAAATACTAAATACTAAATTTTATATATATATATATATATATATATATATATATACTTGTCCGCTTGATCCTATTCCATCTCATCTCCTTCAAGCCATTTCTCCTGCCGTTGTACCTGCACTCACTCACATCATTAACACATCTCTTCACACTGGTGTTTTTCCCTCAGCATTTAAACAGGCTCGTATAACCCCACTTCTTAAGAAACCCACTCTTAACCCAACTCTTTTAGAGAACTACAGACCTTCTACCTTTCATTGCAAAAACACTTGAACGAGTTGTGTTCAACCAAGTCTCAGCCTTCCTCACACAGAACAACCTCCTGGACAGCAACCAATCTGGCTTCAGAAGTAGACATTCGACCGAGACTGCCTTGCTTTCAGTTGTTGAAGCCCTAAGACTGGCAAGAGCGGCTTCCAAATCT